GTTTTAGATTTTACATAAACTCTCATCTTCTACCAAAATTTACCTGTTCTATATCCATTCCCTCTAGGCCTGAATTATTAATTATTAATTAATAATTAACTCATTATTAATATGTTGGTGGCTCTTAATAGATGAAAGTATTTTCCCACTTCATTTTAAGAGGGACCATCTATAGGTATGACGCCTTAACCCAAATAAATGACTCTAATGTTGGAATTTCAGGTTCTCTAATAGACCAGAAGAGGAGATTACTGGAAGCAAGAAGGCACTTCTTGAGCCTCTGAATTCACACTACATATAGGGCTAGCTTTGAAAGGAATTGTTACTCCTAGACCTAAGAGGTGACCTTATTCCTCCTTGATTAATTGCTTCAGGGACCAAGTCATTAAGCAGAGAGATTAGTGCCCACTGTAGTCCCTGCCTTTATTTAATTAATCTGGGCCAATTGGCAAGGTGTTAACAAGCAAGGTTAGTACCAGCTCCTAGATCTTTTAATGGAGAACTTTAATATTATCAGAAGATTGAAAGTACTAAAAACAAGGAAGTTTTGAAGAATATTAAGTAGGCATCCATCATGGAAACGAATGACTGTAGGGGGGATGGGAAGTGTGTCCACTTATCTTTGGGTCTCTTTCAGTTTCTTGTCCCTCATATTCTATTCCTAATTTGATTTCCAAAAATAGGCTCCCAGTTTAGCAAAGAGATGTTTCCCATTGCAAAAAAATAATAATAAAAATTAGTCTCCTTATCACCCCAGGGTCTCAGACTGGAGCTGGGAAATGAAATATAAGAGTCTGGAAAGAGAAGAGCAACTTTATAGGCTTTCTCCCCTTCTCCCCATTTCCTGCTCCAAAACTCCCCTAAAATCATAATATCTGAATATGAGATTGCCTAGAGTTCCCTTGAAAGACAATTTTTACTTGAAGTAAAAATGTGCTGCCTATGATTGAATGGGTTTACCATTAGACAGGCCCTTGTACTTCATTTATTATGTCTTTAGTCAACATCACAATGCTGGAAAGATAGATAGATATAGATGGTAGTTTGATAGATAAATGAATGGATACTGATGGATAGATAGATGGTGGATAGATGATAGATGTTGGAAAGACAGAGATAGGTAGATGATGGATAGATAGAAAGATAATAGATGATGGATGGATTGGTAGACAATGGATGGATAGATGATAGATGGTGGATAGATCTATCCCCATATGTGTATATTTCCTACAGTACATGTAACATGCCAGTGACCCCTGTGTCAGCTATCTATTTGCCTTGGCCATAGACCCCTTATGGAGACTCAATCTCAATCTCTGAATAAGAGGATAATCCCTGTACCAACCTCAGAGTGCTGGTGAGAGGTTCAAATGAGATTATGTATATAAAGTACATCGAAAACTTTAAAGCAAAATATGAATCCCAGTTACTACCTGTAGTCGATAATAAGAAATAACATTGTTTACCTGCCTGACCTAAACAGAAAATACTGGGTGTTTTTCCTTCTTCCTTCCCCTCTGCTATCTGCTCATTGAGGCCAAATGCATTCAGTCACTATTCCATATGCTACTCAATTGAGGTTGCCCAAAGTCTCATATTTTACACCTTGTTCCATTTTCAGCTCATATAAAGATTATGTTTGAGGTTGGTCATACATTGCTGATGACTATTAGCTAATCTAGCAGAGTAGTGGGCAGGAGAGCTATGGAGGTTGGAATTCTAAAGCCTCCTTGGCGTGATAAATATGACACGTTACCAGCTCTGACTTCATTTAAAATAATGGAAAATGGCTATTCTGCTTTCTTCCCCTTTCTCCTTTCTACTCTTTCACACTTAGTCCTTTAACCTTTTAAATTTACTGCTGCTTAACATGTGTACCTGAGGTCTAGAATCCCAAATGGGGAGGCAATATATCACAGCTAGTGTTAAAGTTATTACATTCTGGTTTCCAAGTCTAGTTAACTCCAAGATAAACATACCCTTCTCACCATGCACTTAACTTCCAAAAACACACTGGTGGATAAAGTGCTTCTTGTAAGGTAATAATGCCAACAGTGTAATGAAACTTCCAAAGGGTATCAATTACCTCATGTTCAAAAAAAAGTATATAAGGAAAAGTGTCAGGTCAGCAAGTATTTATTATGTACTCCTACTATGGGCCAGCCACTGTGCTAAGTTCTGGGCATACAAAGAAAGGCAAAAACAGCCCCTGCTGTCAAATAGCTCACAGCCTAATAGGGGGAATCAACATGTAAACAATTACGAACAAACAAGATAGAAGCAGGATAAACTGTAGACAGTCTCAAAGAGAAGACATTAGCCTCAAGGAGGACTAGGGAAGACTTCTCATAGAAGCTAGGATATTAGCTGGGACTTCAAGAAAGCCAAGAGCGAGAAATGAAGAGGAAGAGAATCATAAATGAAAACTCCCCAAAATCCAACCACTTATGTTTCTCATCTTGGAGTGAATAAAAACAAACTGCAGTAGTCTTTGAGGATACTAATTTTTTTAACATTGTGGGACTGGAAAAGGGTAGCTCTATATCTGTGTCCAGTAGTTTCTAAGGTCCTTCTCTAAGGACACATTCAAGTGATCCTATTTATAACTAGCCCGGTGGACTAAGTGAAGTAATGGACATGAAAAGCCTTTGAAAAGTACAAAGTGCTATATCTAAGATATTCTTCAATATTTAAAAAAGATCTATGATTTCATCAGCACTGTTACTTCACATCTTAGCAGACCATCTTCCTAAGTGGTCATGGACTCCAAATTCACTTAAGTTAGCTGGACCTTTCTACAATGACAGACACAAAAGTTTATGTCAGGATGGTTACTGAAAGCCTTAGTTGATAAGAACTAATGGCTTGTATTCTGGGGGGCATAGACTTTGAGAATTCAGGGTCATGGTGATGCCATGACGAAGCTTTGAAATAGGTCATTAGAGAAAGCATATTCAGAGAGTACAATGATTTTTCGTTGCTGGTGGAAAGTAGGACCAAGTTAACCAACTTCACAATATAGAAATGGGTTGGTGAAGGGAAATATTACAAGGTCACCAGCATCATCTACCAGCCTCTTTCAAGCTTTGCTCCTAAGGTGATTTACATAGACCTGGTACATGATGGACAACTAGGTAGCACAGTGGATACAGCGCCTAGCCTGGAGTCAGGAAGACCTGAGTTCAAATTTGACCTCAGACATTTACTAGTAATGTGACCAAGAGCAAGTCACTTAACACTGTTTGCTTCAGTTTTCTCATCTGTAAAATGAGCTGAAGAAGGAAACTGCAAACCACTCCAGTATCTTTGCCAAGAAAACCCCAAATGAGATCACCAAGAGTTGGATATGACTGAAAAAGCAACGGGGACTGAAAGGAATCTCCCATTCACACACCCAGTTCCACCCAGCTGCGTTGCAGTTTTTGTTAAGCAGAACTTCTAGAATGATTTGTAAAGATCCCAGGTATCCTGGGTTTGATAGGAGTTCAAAGGAATTTTCTCACCACAACTCAAATAAATAGTTTAAACTGAAGCTGTATGAATGGCGGGCAGGGGAGTTCTGTTCAAAAGCCTAAAGGCTTTCTCTAGCTAGCTGCATAGGGGTAACTGGCTAGAATGGAAAATTATAGAAGAGTTAGATAGCCCCCGGAGCTAGGATCTGTAAGAGCTGGTGGGGGCAGAGACAGCACAGCAGCTGAAGACCAGTGGAGACCAGTGCTCAGCAGAGATAAGAGCAAACAGAAGCAGAGAACAGGTCTGTGACTTCACCACTGGAAGCCTGATGACCAGAGGGAGAAAGCAGAAGTATTTGGAAGAACAAGAGGTTCTAACAAGGATGTTACCTTAGACCTGAGTTGCCTTGGCTACAAATTTTCCCTTTAGATATGCATATTCCCAGGCCATGCGTGTTCTAGTATGAAGCCCTTCCCCCCCCCCCCATGATGTGGTAACCTGTGGGAGAGTATATCCCTGTTTACACAGGGAGAATCTTTTATTTGTCCTATGCTTGGTTAAAAGAAACTCATTGATGGGAGCTTGTAAGCTATATGGTTTTAAGTGGATTTTGATCCAAAAGAGCCTTGAGCCTAGGGTCACTTTCAGGGGATCTCATTTTATGATTGCTATTGGTTAAGATCACGGTGATAAAAAGGCCAGGGTCACAGGTACAATCTCATGAACAGAAAAATTAAATTTGTAAAGGACAAAAAAAACACTGTTCTTGCCTAGAGATTATACTTTAAAACTCCAGCCAGATACATAAGGGACCTGGGTGAAAAAATTCTGAATGGCTCAGCTACCAAAACAACAAAGTAGGATTGTATTGGCAAGGAGCTTCATCTCCAGAAATGAAGGAAAACACTCCCTGTGGAATAATCCTGGCTTTTCAACAGGAAGTACAGGGGCACTCTTCACCTCAAATCTGTTGAAATGAAGACACATACAAGCAGAGGTGAAACAAAAGATATCACCATTCAAAATTTCTAAAATCACACTTCACTTGAATACTAAGCTCCTAATGATGGAATTGATGGTATCTCTCTGTAGAGAGCAGCTCTGGAAAAACTTTAAATAATTCTCTCCTTGTATGCCCTCCTGTAGCTGCCTGGGCTTGTTTACAAAGAAACAAGGCCTTTACTTGCTGTGAAGGAAGTCAAACCAAACCTCACAGACTGAACTGCGTGGTTTAAAAATAATAATAATAATAATAATAATAATAATGTCATCAATCCCTCAGTTTATCAAAGGTTTTACAGGTTGGTTCCTTATTTCTAATTTTTAAAGTTTCTACTTCCTAACTTGTTAGGATACTTAGGACCTACAAAGCCTATGCAGCCCATGAGATTTTCTGGGCAAGCTTGTTTTTATGTAAGGCTCCCATTTAAATATCTTTAGAATTCGCTTTTGCCTTGAAGCAATAGACAAGTATGTGCTGCTCTCTTCTAAATATGGGAACAGTAAGTACAAATAGAAGATTGAAGATCTGCTTTGAAGCTAAATTCTGTAACTGGGCAGGCTCTGGAAACATCAGAAGCAGCAGCAACCACAGTGGTAGAGAGCAGGGGAAAATCTTTCTTCTTTTAATTGCTAATGTACTCATTCTGGGAGGTCTCTTGTCAGATTAAGGGTCAGGGTCTGATTTGGGCTTTCCTGCTAATGGAGATGTTGTGGGAGTGCTAGAATGAGTGCTGTGATATTACTAATAATTAATGATGATAATAATGTCTGAGGGGCCCTGGTTTAGTGCCTTTCATCCCCCAAAGACTTCAGATCTCTCCACAATCACCCACTGTTGACCTGGAGCTGACTTAGGCAGAAAATGTGGCCTGAGTGGCAAAGGACACAGCAACAGTAGGCTTATTTAAAACATGAGTGAAAGAAAAATACTTGTTTAAAACTGAAGTGTAAATTTTTGGGTAGGCAGGCTGTAGTTACCCAACCTGAAACTTTGCCAGGAAACAAGTTTTATTACCCCCGTTCTCTTGCAAAAAGCACATAGAGTGCTTTCCTGACCATAAACAGACCTTGGATTTTTATCTGCTCTGCAGCTCAACACCCTCTAACCATGGAGAGGAATTCATGGAGAGAAGGATGGCAACAACTACTGAAGAATCTAGATTTCTGCCTTCCACAGGTACAGGTCGATCTCCGACAAGTACTGACACACCCTGGCCTTGAAATGCAGAGATGCCTAAAACAAAATGGTAAGGCTGCTTCCAGGGGGAGGGGAACAAGAAAAAAAAAAAAAACCAACACCACCATACAAATGAATTACCTGAGGTCACTTTAGTCTAGGAAACAGACTCTCCCAATAAGATATAACACCCTTATCTTAGCAGCATTTGTGTTTGTTTGTTTTTAACTATAACAAGATCTTGAAGGGGGGAGGGGTTGACAGCAAGACCTAAGGGATCTCCACATCCATACTGAACACTTTTCAGATTCTTTGGCCTCCTAGGCCCTCATCTGCTTTGACTCTTGCACCTCAGACCTTCTCACTCTCCAGACACAATTTTTTTTACTTCTCTCATTTTCCCATCACATCCACAAAAGCTTCATTCATCCTCCCACCCGGACCCAAACCTCCAACCTATCAACTTTTCCCATTTCACTCAGTTCATAGGCTGCACTGAACCTCTCCACCTACCAGGTCTAAAATAACTATTTCTACGTGGCTAGATTTGAAGGCCAGCCCACTTAATTCCTAACCTTGCATTACCTGCTCACTATCCTGTCTCACCTCTGCAAGGAGTTGCTGGAGCTAAATACAGAATTGTGCCGATCTAACCAATTATGCAGAATCAATTGGTGCATACCAGCAAATTTATCAAAAATTGTACAGCAATTTGATGCTTGTAGCTGTGGAACCGTCAGCAGAAGTATAGTGGGAAATCCAACTTGTATCCAGCTTAGAAATAAATGTCACACTCCATGTAAAATACATTCATTTTAGGAATATTTTAATGGAAATAAATTGTAGGGGGGCTCTATCTTAATTAGATGGCTAAACATGTTTCTGAACTTAGTCAACTGTAATATATACACATCACCAAATGCTGAGTCATCTGGGGGAATAAATTAGCTTTAAAGTACACTTCACATGTACAACTTTGCCTCTTAAAAATGCATTTGTTGAATGTCAGTCCTAGACTTCAACCTTGGGATCAGAGGAGCTAGTTTCAAATATGGCTTTGCTATTTACTACTGGGCAAATCACTTAAGCTCTCTGGGCCTCATTCAGCTCTCATAAGTGAAGTGAGGGGACTTCACCAAGTGATCTCTGTATGGATGGTCCCTTTCAGCTCGAGAACCTAAGATTCCTATGATTGGGATGAAGTCATTTTTGAATATTGGTTTCCTCCGCTAGAAAATAAAAAGGGCTTTCTTCATGGCAATTCTGTGACATAAGTAGGGCAAGTATTACTATTTTTATTTTGTCTCTTAAACATGCTTTCTCATGAATTTGACTTTCAACAAAAACAAAGGCAATTAAACATACACTGGTGACTACTTAGATTTTTTTTTTCTTTTGTAAAACAGTGGGGGTGAAATGACTTGCCCAGAATCACACAGCTAGTGAGTGTTATGTGTCTGAGGGCAGAATTGAACTCAGGCCTCCTGACTCCAAGGCCCATGCTCTATCCACTGCACCACCTACCTGCCCCAAATACTTAGATTTTTAAAAGTTATAAATATAGTATGTCCTAATAACTTATTGGTTACTTCTTCTGTTTCTCTTTGTGTTTTGTTAATCCATTGATCTCTGTATTTTTTATCTAGTTTCCCACTTACATAGTGCCTAATCTGTTCTTTGTATAAGGTCAAAAACAATTTTTTCAAAGCTATTAGCTAGGAGAAGGTCCTATACGTACAAAAATATTATTAGCAGCTTTTTTTGTGTGGTGACAGAAAATTGAAAACTAAAGGGATGCCCATCAATTGAAGAATAACTAGGTAAGTTGTGATATATTAATAATGAATAATAATAATAATAACACCACCAACAATACCATTTATATAGTGCTTACTATGTGCCAGGCACTATGCTAAGCACTTTACAAATATTATCTTATTTGATCTTCACAACCCAAGGAACTAAATGCTATTATTATCCCCATTTTACAATTAAGGAGACTAGGGCAAGCAGAGGTTAAGTGACTTGTCCAAGGTCACCCAACTATTAAGTATCTGAAGCCAGATTTAAACTAAAGTTTTCCTGACCCTAGGCCCAGCTCTCCATCTGCTTTGGTACATACTTGCCTGTGACTAATGTGATAGAGTACTATTGTGTTGTAAGAAATGAGGAGGGACAACTAGGTGGTGCAGTGAATAGAGCTCTGGCCTTGGAGTCAGGAGGACCTGAGTTCAATTCAAACCTCAGACACTTGACACTTACTAGCTGTGTAACCCTGGGCAAGTCACTTAACCACAATTGCCTCACCAAAGAAAGAAATGAGGGATAAATTATATCCAAAAGGCATAGAAAGCCATATAAATTGATAAAGAGTAAAGCGAGTCCAAGGAGAAGAATAATTTATACTATATTATAACATCAATATTAATAAAAATGAACAATTGTGAAGCCTTCTATAAACTGAAAAAAAATAAAGTGAGCAGAATCAAGAGAACAGTTTATACAATGACAACAATGCTGTTAAAAACAAACAACTTTGAAAGTGCAAGGACTATGATCAATACAATGGTGGTTGTTGTTCAGTCATATCCAACTCTTCATGCCTCCATTGGGGTTTTCTGAGCAAAGGTACTGGAGCGGTTGCCATTTTCCTTCCCCAGCTCATTTTACAGATGAGGAAACTAAGGCATATTAGGGTTAAGTGACTTGCCCAGGGCCACATGGTTAGGATGTGTCTGAGGCTGGACTTGAACTCAGGAAGATAAGTCTTCTTGACTCCAGGCCCAGCACTCTATCCATTTCACCAGCTAACTGCCCTTAATCAATACAATTCCCAGTCATTATTCCAGAAGACCAATGATGAAACATGCTATCCATGACAGAGAGGGGATGGACTTAGGGTACAGAATGAGACGTAGATATTTTTGCATATAGCCACTAAAGGAATTTATTTTGCTTGACTATGCATATTTGTTAAAACAGAATTGTTTTTCTTTTCTTCCCTCCTCACGCTTCCCCACCTCCATGGGATGAAGTAGAAAGGACAAGAAAGAGTAAATAGATTTCTGTTAATTTTTAAATTAAAAATAGTGGAAGGGGGGCATTGCTACAGATGTGAAATGTTGCATGCACTTTCAGATGAAGTCACTGTATTCTTATTTTTATTTAATTGCTTTATGGTCTTTGTTGCAGGAGACCCTTCAGAAGTGGTCGCGAGGTAGAGAAGTAGAAGGAACACTGAGCCCGGAATCAGGAAGACCTGAGTTCAAATCCAGCCTCAGAAACTTACAAGCTGTGTGACTCTGGACAATCACTTTACTGCTGCCTGCCTCAGCTTCCTCATCTATAAAATGGGGTAGTGATATCCCTACATCCAAGAATTGCTGTAAAAAGAAAATGAGATAATATTTTATAAAGTGCTTAGCACACAGTAGGCACTTAATAAATATTTGTTTCCCTCCTTTCATGGAATAAGGTTAATTTGTAAGTATTTGTTGTGTTAAAAATGAAATATATTTATAAAACTTTTAAAAATGAATTTATATTCCTAATATCTATCATTTTAATAGCACTAAAGAGTTCCATTATATTAGTATATAATAGTTTATTCCACCATTAATCTTTAGGTTGTTTCTAGATTTTTGCAATTACACATGCTACTATATGTTTTCAATAGCTTTGTTTTTCTTTAGGATAATACAGTTAGAGTATGTTCCCAATACTGATATTATAGCTCAAAGTGCAAGATAATTTTTCCCAACTTGTTTAATATTGTCATATTGCCCTCCAAAAAAAAATACCACTTTGCAATTCTACTAAGAAAGTGTGAGTGTACCAATTTCTCCTCAACTCTACTTCTCAATAAATTGATCTAACCATAGGGTTACTGATAATACAAAGAATACACATTCATTTATCCCAAAAAAGAAATGAGATGTATGGGCCCACCTCACAGTGTGTGTGGGGAGGGGAGGGGAGGGAAGAGAAATACTCCCCACTCTGGCCAGGTCCAAGGAAATGAGACATTTAAGTTTGTGGCTCAATCCCAGGCAACCAGGGTAGTCAGGGCAACTGAATGGTTCTGGATGGCCCTCAGATTTTAGATGGTTTTATACGAAGACAGACAAAGGGAGGCAGATGTCCCAAAGTAGGGTAAGCTAGCCTCCTTTGAATACTCAGGTCAGATAGCCCTATACACAAAAGTTGGTAGAATTCCTTCGAAGTTAAAAACTTTGTTCATAGATAGTCATCAGTCACTCTATCTGACTATCAGTATGTCATTTCGTCTTCAGGTGAAGGTGATGAGATAGCAGATTTACAGCAGTTATGTATTTATCTTTACCTCTGAGATTCCAGTTTTGTTCTGTCGATCTAATTTCCCCTTCCTTCCCTCCTTCCCTCCCTCCTTCCTTCCTTCCTTCTTTTCAGATGTACTTAGCACAGTGCCTGACATGTGAGCTTAATGAATGCTTATTGACAGACTGACTTTTGATGTGTACTATATGGATGCTCTGAAGCTGCAATCTCATCTTCCTATAACCGAAAAGCTAGGTCCCTAGAGCACAGCTAACTACATTTCACTCTCAGGGTTCTAGAAGTAGCCCTCAGGGGATAGTATGGTTTTTTCTAATGCTTTTGGCTTGATTCCTCATCCTGGTGTGTTTTCCCCATTATCAATAGCCAGAGAGGTTTAGTTTGTATTTCCTTAATATCATGGATATTGGCAATTAGCACCCCAAGATCATTTAATCACTGAACAACAATTAGCTTTTACAAAGGTAGTGTTCTAAGTTGAGCCTGACTCAAGTCAGACCACTGACAGTTGAGGTTCGAAACTGGAACAAAATGAGACATTCATCAGCTATTCAGCATCTAACCACAAGAGATCCAGTGAGCAACAGCAAAGAGATGGATGTTCAACAAGGATAGGCTTTGAGGACACCTCAAATTGATTGAGCTGAGCAAAGCTGAGTTGACCATTGAGATCCAGCCCAACCTCAGGGATTTTCCCAGGTCCCCATGGCTGCTTTTGTATGTAGGCAATGAGAAAGTGGTGTCAACCCTCTGAACCCTTAGTCTGCTGGACCAACCAAATTCTAACATGGCCTTCCATGGCTGGACCTCTGCTCCATCAGTTTTTTGCAGCTCACAAGGTCACAGCTATCTCTAATACTCCTCCACCTAAAAGAAGGAAGGAACAAGCACCAACAGACAAAGAACAGTCCACATGTCTACCCAGATTGGAGTGGATGGGCGCACTAAGGCTTCTCTCCTTACCCGGAGGCTTATACTTTATGTCTTCCCTCAATGCAGCCAGGAATCAAAGAGAAAGATGGCTAGTCCCTTTTGAATGGACACCCAGTTCTGACTCAACAGCCAATCTAAACGTCCAACTCAGAGAATGCTTACATGTGCTCTGAAGTGGAGAGCTGGGCCCCTCAATTTCATATAATCAGGCTGTTCTAGAAGCAAACTCACCAAATGCACGTACTCCCAGAACTGAGCCCTCATTGGCCATTTCTACCCTCCTGTCCTCTCCTAATTACAGATGAAATTGCTTTTACATTTTAAAGTCTAAGAGAGCAAATCCAAATTAACATACTATTGGAGAACCGAGCCATGTCAATACCAATATTTTTGTGATAAAGAGAACTAAAAAGAATTTGCAGTAACTAAATGGAAGGATGGATGACAGCTTAGAGATGCTAAGAAAAGAATTAGAAGAATCCGTTTCATTGTGTATTCAAAGACAACAAGAAATATCATTTTGTCTTTTAGTGTTCATGAAGAGAATTAAGTGGTGAAGAACCATGATGATAAATGCTGTTTATATACCAACATCTGTTGCGGAGGAAGAAAAGAGAGAGAAATTCTATAAAGATTTGACAAGATTCTGGAAGTCAAGTCGGTATACACTTGGATACTCAATGACTTCAATTAGAACGTGAGCTCAGGTAAAAATAGTGCAAAGTACACTGCAAAATGTGACTCAGGTCTTCAATACAAATGACGACTGCAGACTACTCATAGCCTCCTGGCTACACTTTATGAATATTTTCTTTCCGACATGAAAACATGGTGAGTATTGAATATTATCACAAAAAATGCTACTAGTTATACCTTAAGGAACAGGAAAGCTGTCTACATTGCAGTCTTCAACTAGTTAGAACAGAGTTTAAAATCAAAATCAAATTCAAAGCAAGAATATGGAGAGATACTCTGAACAAGAAACTGCAATAGCTTTGCCTTGACCTATTTAAATGAGCCTGAGGAAAGGGAAGATATTGACTTGATTGTCATCATTTCCTGCAAATTTCAAGTTCTGTAAAACAGTTGTCACAACTAGGAGGCCAAAAAAGTTCAGAAATCTTCTTAGCCCCAAAATATTTGATCTCCATGCCATGTAGAGATATCTGGTTATTAAGAGCAGCCCCGGTTTAGAATACAAAATTATTTATAAATCACTGTGGAGGGGAATGGTGAAAGTTTAATGAGCAATGTCACCTTATAAAAAAGTCAAAAAGCAATAGAAGTGAAAATAAATGTATAGAAAGCTTAGCATGAGATCCCAACAGAGTGACATCATCCCAAGAACATTCATGGATGAAACAGGGAAGAATATAGCAAATAGAACAGAAATTTAACAAATACGATCAATAATGATTTTTCATCATCAATGATAACAGAATCACCAGATTTAGATCCCCCAATCTTAGTCCCCATAGAGATGTGTCATACAAGAAGGTTGACCCTAGGACCCAAATTTGCAAAGAGTGGCCAGACCAGATACAATATACACCAAGAAAGTATATAGTGAACTTGACACAATCTTCAAAGAATTGAGGGGTCATCGTATAAAATATCTCAAAAAGAAAATATAGAAAAAAATAGAAAAATTGTGGATCTAAAAAAGGTAATAATAAACAACAAACTCATATATTTCTTATCTTTATAAAATCTTTAAAAAAAATAATACTGGAACTATGATTTCCTCACTGTAGAGCATTCCCAATATTCAACTTCTCTCAATGCAGGTCAGCATTGATGCAGCACGTGAACTTGGGTCTTCTCAACTACAAGGCCAACTCCACTGCCACAATGCGTCTCAACAGATCTTTATGTGAATAATCCATATTATTGTATATCCATAGTGCAAACTGGAGAAGAGAACAGACAAATTTTTACAAGTAATTTTCCACAGCAGATCTCATTGCTGTACAGCTGACTGAAAGGTACAAAGAATACCAGATCTTACTGAATATTTTGTTCTATAATAATTTTTTTAATTTTGTAAAGCCAAACCACAGACTTAAAGGGTTTCTTTCAACAAGGAATTTCTGATGTATATGTTAAAATCATACAGGATTTAATCAATCAACAAGCATTTGTTAAGTGGCTGATAAATGTCAGGCCCTGTGTGAGGTAGGCAGGAATACAAAGAAAAAATTCCGATTCATGAGGAGTTTAAATCCTAATGGGGGAAACAACCGGTACATATGGACAGTATAAATAAAAAAGGTTAAATACAAAGTAATTTGGGAGGTAGAGCCCTCAGAGTTCGGGAGATCAGGAAGATGGAGTTTGAGCTGGGTCTTAAAGGAAAAGGGATACTCCATACAATGGAGTTAAGGACTCTCAGGCATTGTGAATGCCTAATGAAAAGGTCCAGAGGTGAGAGATCGTCCTGTGTGAGGAAAAGAGAGAAAGCCAGTTTGGCTGGATCTACAGAGTAGGTGGAAAGATTGTCTGGGGCCAGGTTCTAGATGGCTTTGAAAGCTAAACAGAGGAATTTATATTTTATCCTAGAGGCAACAGAAAGCCACTGGAATTAAATGACTAGGAGAGTTAGATATGTACTCATGGAAAATTCCTTTGGCAGCCATGCGTAGGATGGACTGGAGTGGGGAGAGACTTAAAGCAGAGAGATCATTTAGGAGACCTTTGCAATAATCTAGGCCAAGAGGGAATGATGACCTGAACTAAGGAAGCTGCCCTATGCAGCACTACCCTTGACCTCAGCAAGCAGGGCCTTAGGGGCTCCTGTTTTGGAGGAACCTGATCATCACAGGCTCAGATAAAAAGTTAAGATAAAATAAAACAAAACAAATAAATTATAAAATGAAAAAGTTATTAAGATAAAAATGAAATATGCAGGGAAAAAAAATTACCTATTAAGTGTCACACTTATACTACCACCTTCCTCCCAGCCATAACTGACAACAGGCCTCAAATCTTACTTTGGCCCAAACTAGATTAAAATGTAACTGGGAAATGCTTAACAAAATAAATAAAAATATAATGCAACAAAGATAATGTTAATTTGTGGTTTTCTTTTTTTTTTTTTCTTTTTTTATTTTTAGGCAATTGGGGTTAAGTGACTTGCCCAGGGTCACACAGTTAGCAAGTGTCAAGTGTTTGGTCTCAGGCCAGATTTGAACTCAGGTCCTCCTGACT